TTTGAACCATTGACCTTTTGGGTGGCAATGCAATGCTGGACACCGACGCTTTCAGATTCCCAGAGGACAAGGTCATTTTTATGGAGACTGAGCTCGTGGGAAAGGGGCAGTGCTCCTTTCTGATCAAAATAGCAATAGATTTTATGAGCGTGAAGATGGCTTTTGCCCCCAATGGGACTGATCTTGGAGAAGCAGGAGAGCAAACCAGAGTGGGGCCACCTGAACAGTAGGCTGTGCCAGGACAACAGACTCTGGGGAAGCAGTCACCTCCGGAGGGAAGGACCAGATTTTAGGGTTGGGTGCACTCACAGATCTCTGTCCCTGCACTTGAGAACTGCCGGTCTAGACTTGTTGGAAACTTGCCTGTGGTGTTTCAGCAGCCTGATGCTGCCAGGATTTTAGGAGTGCTGGTGGCCCGGCAGTGAAGTGCTGGGCTGCTCACAGACAGGTTGGAAGCTGGAATCTACCAGCCACTGCCTGGGAGGAAGTCCTCGTGATATGCTCCCACAAAGATTATCGTTGTTGTGTGCTTTCCAGGTGATTTCTACAGACAGTGGTCCCGGAAACCCTGTGGGACAGTTCTGCTCTGTCCCATGCGGTCACAGTGAGTTGGGAACCACTCAGAAGCACCTAACAACAACCTACTATATTACTCTAGGTCCAGCTTGGTTGCAAATGGTTCCTTAATTTGCCATGCCACATCTGAGCTAGGATGGACTCCCCCCATCCGCCCACCTCCACCAACTCCTGCAGCTGCGGACTATCAGGCTTCCTATAAAGGGTTGGTTCTCCAACAGGCATGTCTGTATTTCTGGGTTCTTACTTTATGATTTTGGTCAATTTCTTGACCGTGCATAAGTGTACGATGCCTTAATTAGGGTGGATTCATATCATCTTAATATCTGGTAGAGCTGAGGCCTTCAATTTCCCTGGCCCTTTGCACTTCCATATGCATTGTAGAATGGGTGAATCAGATTCCACGAGCATTTCAATTAGAAATTTGAATTAGGAGGGCATTGATTCTACCACACAACTAAGGGAGAATGGAGATTTTCAGCATCCTGTCTCCCTACCTTTGAACACAATCTCATCTCAATTTTAGGCGGGTCATCACTGGTGCACCTTTGAGCTTTATGGCTATTTATATTAATATTTTAGCTTTGGTGAAAATCCAGGCAGAAAAACCTGTTCCCATGCAGCAGCTTTTGGACATAATGATCTATGACATTGGTTACAGTCTTCGCCTTGTGTCCGCATTCCCATGAGTTCTGTTCTCTGGGCTTCACTCCCATTAGATTCAACTTCCTCCCCCGCGCCCCATGAAACTTCCCTATCTGTGCTCTCAGAGAGCTGGTGTCCTTTTGGTCTCTTTCAGACACTTTTGTTTGTGCCGTTGTAGTTTTCCAAGAACATAATACTCAAGGGAGATCATCTTTTCTTTTGAACTCAACCGTTACTTACAGGTGTCCTTGGCCGGGGAGCTTCATGATTTTCCCCACTCAAGGAATGAAATTATTTTTGGATTTCTTTCTAGACTCTTGATAATCTCTGATACTGTAGGACACAATGCCCTCTTTGCAATTTTATGTTCTTGTTATTTGCTGCTGGGGTGGAGGATTGTTGTTAGGAGCCTTCTAGTTGGTTCCCACCCACAGCAAACCTTTGCACAACCGAAGAAAACACTGCCTGGTCCTGCACATCCCCACAATTCCAATGTTGGAGCCCACTGTGGCAAGCAGAGGGTCAATCCATCTCATGGAGGGTCTTCTTCTTTGTCGCTGCCCCTCTCATGATGGCCTTCTCCAGGCACCGGTCTCTCCTGACAACATGTCCAAACTATGCAAGAAGTCTCAACATCCTTGCTTCTAAAGAGCACGCTGGCCATACTTCATATGTCTTAGTTAATTCTTATTTCTGCATTTCATGTGGTGGGGGTAATGGTGGCATGTCCTTTGGTGGACGTGAACTCAGTGAACCTACAAGACAGAGTAGAGCTGTTTCTATATTTGTGAAAGTTGGCTGGTGAGTTTGAACTGCAGACCTTGCTGTTAGCAGTGCAGTGCTTAATCACTGTACCACCACGCTCTTCTTCACTGCACAGTATTGGAAGTCAAATGTAGAGAGCCAGGTTTGACCTCTAAACATGCCATGCCCAGGAGGCACAATGGTGCTTCTTGGGAAATTGGTGGTGAACAATACTCTCTGTGCCTCCACTACTGGTGGCTGCCTAGTTCTTCCGGTGGGTGATTTTCCAGTTGATCGTCTTTATGGAAGTAGATCAGCAGGTCTTTGTCCCTCAGAGCCATTCGGTGGGTTAAAACCACCGAGCTTTCGAGTAGGCCATTTAAAGAGAGAGAGACTGGAGGAGCTATTTAGAAGACACTTTCAGTCATCACGGTGAGAGGTGAGAACTGCCTGTGGAGGCCTCCTGTGGACACCAGAGTGAAGAGTAAGTAATGGATGTGAGACACTATGCAGGAAGAAATGGGCTTACTCTGGTCATCCAGAAAGGCGGTGAAAAGAGAGGGAGTGATCTGAAAGAACTCAGTTTGGGAAACTTGGTGAATAATGAAATTGACAGGGAACTGTAAAAAGATATAGGCAAAGATTGGGGGCTTTATTTCCCCCCACTTATCTGTATTCTCTTCAAAGAGCTCTACTGAGATACATGTCACCTACCATAGCATCCACCTGCTTCATGTGTGAGTCACTGAACTCTCTCCTGTCACCACAGGAGCACGTGGAAATGCTGTTTGAAGTCTTTGGGGAATTACAGTGTAGACGCTTAGGATTTGGGCGCAAAGTCCTGCCAATCTCTGCAGGTAACCATTCTCCTTTGGAGAAACAGATTTTGGGTTGTGACTGGGCCATTATAGCAACTGAAAGCTGAAGCATGGGCCACCACGTCACCATGTGACTGATGCTTGCTGGACTCATAGTTATCAGTTTGGATGTGGACAGTAGCACTGCACTGTTAAATGAAAATGGTAGATATGAGAGCTGGATCAAGCAGGACCGGAAGGCACAAGTAAGTTGCAGGATGACGTGGTCTAAACGCCCACAGTCTCCACTCTTGCCCCATTACCTTGCCCCTCGCAGTCTGTACCTATGGTCTCTGGTGAGTTCCTTAGGATCAGTTGACCGAGGAAGAGATGATGTATGCCTGGTTAATAGATTTTTCTGTGTGATAGACAGCCACCACTCACATGTGCATGGTGGCAGCATTGGAGAGCCTTCCTGGGGCCTTCCTGAAGCAGAGTGAAGACAAGTTATCTGTGCCCCCACCCTGGGTAGAATTTGAGCACCACACTTGACTGAGCATTTCCCTTGGAAGGAGAAATGGCTAGATGTGTGATTAGTTGCTGATTCATGAGCTATGGCCAAAGCTTTGGCTTGGAAGGAACATGATTAGAAAATTGGTGACAAGGAGATATGAGGGAACGGTATGTGAACAGACCTCTATAAGTAGGTAAAAAGGGTGAAGGTACCTGTGTTTCATGTGATTGCTTATCAAATCTTGGCAGAGGAGGGTTTTAATTATCAAGGGGAGAGGTGGACATGTTCTGTGGAAACCAGCCATCCTAAGTCACTCCTGTCATTGCCCAATGAACAAAGTGGACACGGTGGCAGGGATTGAGGAGATGCATGACTTGGCTACAGTCACTTTGCATCCGCAGAGACCAACACTGAGTTGCTGACAAGGAGCCATTCCTCAGAGAAATCAGCCAACAAGCTGGTGGCGAGTAGATTGCACTGAATTGTTTCCACTATGGAAGAGGCAGCTTTTGTTCTTACAGGAGCAGACAGTCTGAATAACAATTTACTTTCCCTGTCTACAGTGCTTCTACCAAACCTAATATCCATTGCTCCTACCAGTACAGAATGCCTCATGCATAGTCATGGTACTATCCCACCATACATCGTCTCGGGTCAAGGAACTCACTTCACAGCAAAGGAAGCCTGGCAATGGTCATGGAATCTTACCATGGTCTTACCATGAGCCCATCATCCTAAACCAACTGGCTTGAGAGAATAATCGAATGCCCTTCTAAAGGCATAATTAAAAAGTCAGGTAGGTGGAATTGGGGTAATTCTTGGTGGAATTGGGGCAAAGTTCTCCAACAAGTTGTGTATGCTTTAACCCCGAATCCAAGATGTAGTGCTGTGTCTCCCAACCTCAGAATTCATGGGCCCAGGAATCAAGAGATGGAAACAAAGTGACACCACACACCATTACCCCTAGTGACTCACTCACAAAATGTTTGCTTCTTGACCTGTGACCCTATGCTCTGTGGGTCTAGAAATCTTAGTTCCGACATTCCAGAAGGAGACACAGCATTGAGACAATTGAACTGGAAGTTAATAATACCACCTCGCAACTTGGGTTCCCTGTGCCTCTGGATCAACGGGCAAAAGGAAAGGAGTTAACAGCATTGGTTGATATCGTTGATCCTCATTACTGAGGGGAATCACACTGAGATTGCATATTGGAGGTAAAGAGGAGCATGTCTGGAGTACAGAAGGTTGCTTGGGACATGGAATAATAGCTCGGGTTAGTGTCTGACCTCCTCTAACTTCACAAGGGAGAAGGAGTTTCAAACTCAGCATCCGCCCCAGGAAAATTCCCATGAGGTCAGATATGCCTCTGCCCTGCAACCAGTCATCCCTCCTAACACACTGTCTATTTCTCTGTCAGGGATGGTAGTCTGTTGCAATGGCCACACAAAACTCACCGACAATATCCAGGATTGTGGAGCTTATTAGAAAAGTTAACAGGTTACAATTCGGCATCAGGAATGCTCAGAGTACAGTTCTGTAGTCAGGACAGCCTGTTCTCAGCCATGACTCCAGACGTGTGGGTCCTTGGCCTGTGACCTCCAAAAATTGCTCACTTTGCCAGTGAGCCTATGGCCCCAATCACTCAGCATTAGCTCTATGGGTTAGCAAATTAAGTTCCCCACACCACACCACTACGAGGTGTCTGGAGATTGGAAACCTACCCTGCCAGCAAGCCTCCTGCTCTACCACACTCAGATTCCTCACTCCAGGGGCCTGGAAATGCACCAGGATGTCTTGTCCTCTTGGTTCTGCTTCCTGTGCTGTTGCTGTGTCTCTGCCATGTCTCTTCTGGTCTTGAGTGTCACGTCTTCCTGTCTCTGGGCTCAAAGAGGCTCCACATGAAGGGGCATCCAGGTCCAATGGACACACTCCACTCTGGGTTCGGCTTTGTTGATAGACGTGAGGTCCCCCTGTGCTTCTGAAACGATTCATTTTAAACCTGGTGGGATTACAAAACTATGCAATCCCCACAGTAGAGTTTCATGTTTCTAATTTAAATGGTCCCATTCCATGTGGGTGCCATGGTCCTCATCAACATCATTAGGGAGATATCTAAACCCTTTGCTGAGCCACAAACACCTCCATTTTCATAGTCCCATCGAGTCATTTGGTAGGAATTAAAATAAGACTACAGCTCAAAGAGCCACATCCAGTAATTCACTGCACTGAAGGGCTTCTCTCAGTATTACTGTGCCCTGTGATTAAAGTCAATGGAAAACTATCACAACCTAATGACCCAGACCCTTCAGGAATGAAGGTCATGCCACCAGACAAAGAGCGATAACCAGCTGAAGTGCTTGCTGAGGGCAAAGGGACTACAGATTGGATGGTAGAAGCAGGTAGTTCTAAATACCAGAAATGAGGATTATACTGTTATGAGTGTTTTTTCCTTGTAAGTGTATATAAAATATTTTATTTTCTCTACTTACAAGATATAAGATGTAAATGGGACCAGTACAGTTTCGATTGTTCATGTGTTAGCTGTATCATCGTGAGACACACATACAGCTTCATCACGGCCTTTGTTCAGAGACTATGGATGGTTCAAGTGGATGTGTTCAGGTACCACATTGATAAGGGTTTGACTGTGATGGTCAGGTTTCTGTGTCAACTTGACTGGGCCACGATTCTCAGTGATTTGATGGTTATGTCGTAAATTGACCATTATGTAATGATATGATCAGCCTGCATTTTGTGATCTGATGTAATTACTTTCAAGACGTAATCTGGTGTTACCAGCCAATGAATGGTAAGGGGGTTTTCTTCTGGAGTGTGGCTTGTGTCTGATAAAGGCAGATATTTGGGCAAAGCTCACTGGCATTTGCTTTCAACGCGCACCCAGCTTGTCATCATCTGACCGCTAGTTTTGGGGTCTTGAGCTGTCCTATTGGGAGTCATCAGTCTTGCAGTTAAGTGAGTCAGGAAAAGCCTCCACATTGGTGCCTGACCCATGGATTTGGGGATTGCCAGTCTCTACAAGCATGTGAGCCATTTCCTTGAGATAAATCTCTCTCTCTTTTCTATATAAGAAGGAACTTCAAAAAGCTCATGGAAAATTCTATTACCTTTTAATTCCATTTCTCCATGAAATTTTTGAAGCTCCATTGTATACACACTCACTGCTTTGGCTTCCTTAGAGAGTCCAGCCTGGGGCAGGTTTTTATTCTATTAATCTAATGTATTCCATGAACTGATTTTCAGATGTTAAACCAATCTTGAATTTCTGGAATAAATTTCCACTTAGTTAAGGTCTATTGTCCTTTTTTCTGTCCCTGGATTCCATTTGCTAATATTTTGTAAAAGATTCTTGTATCTATACCCATAGGAAATATAGTTTTTTTCTTACTGTGATGTCTTTGTCTGAATTTAGGATTGGGTTAGAAATGCCTCATGAAAAGAAGTGGGAAGGGTCTCTCCTCTTTGTGTTTTGAAAGAAATTTGTAGAGCACTGGCACTAATTCTAATCGAAAGCATTTGCTAGAATTCGTAATGTGCCTAAGTTTTTCTTAGTGGCTAGGGTTTGACTACTAATTTAATCTCTTTAATGTTACACACACACATATATACAGAGGGATGTATATATATGCATATATGTGTACACTATAGGGTAAGTACATAGGAGAAACAGAAAAAGAGGAATACCGTGAAGAAATGGATGGACACAGTGGCTGCGCCGATGGGCTCCGGTGTAGCACCAATAGTGAGGATGGCGCAGGACCATGAAATGTTTCATTCTGTGGTTCGGAGTTGCTATGGGTTGGAGCCAACTCGATGGCAACTAACAACAACCACAACAACACATACACTATTTAGATCATATCATATGCTATCATATCTGTATCCAGATGTTCTATTCATTGTAGCGTCGTTTCAGTATTTTCCAGGATCTGGTCCATTTACTTATTCGATACAATATGCTCTTATCGATAGTGCTCCCTGATAACCCTTTCCATATCTGTCACATTGACAATGCAAGGCTTCAAACAGATTTGGGCATTATTGCCACTATCGCTTTACCAAATGCTTCCTGACTTTTCTTACCAGTATATAACACAGATGAAAGGAACTGTCTTCCTAAACCTCAGGGTGCATATCCTCTTTCCTGCTGGCACCCGAGGCAACCCTAAAAAATGCTATCATGCTACAGGGTAGAGTTCAGTACCAATATATAGGGCACAACATTCAAAATATGGTGCTTTGTGGGTTTGGTTTATTTTGGGAGGGGGGGGCGGGGTTGGCTTTCTTTCTAATGGACTAACAATTTTAAAGTATAGCCAAGATATGATTCTTGTTTTGGACTCTGGATGTATGGACTTGGACATGCCTTTCCGTTACCTCTCTGGAAATGAAAATTGAAGCAACACATTTAAGAGGTTGAGTGGAGGAAATGCAGTCGCGAAAGGTCAGAACAAGAAGGCAAGTCAGGACAGCACAAGACAGTCCGCAGAGCCCACAGCTAAATAAAAGAAAATAGTTGTGTCAGGAGTACATAGCATTGCAGAGATAACAGGGAACAAGTTGGAAAAGACCATTGGATCTTGTGATTAGGAAAGTTCTGGGAACTGTCTGAGTACAACTTGGTGGTGGGTATGATCCCCGGGTAACTGTCCCCAGTCGCAACCACATGTCCCTATAGAACGTACCTCCAGTCTGGCAGGACCCCAAGGACCCTCACCGCTCCGGAAGCTGCATGCCATTTGTTTGCTGCCTGAAGTTGCCACTGCTGCTTTGAGGCTTGGGACGTGCCACTTTAGGAATCAAAATCTTTATCACTTAACTGCTATACTTAGTGCATTATCTCTCCCTGGGTTTCAGCTGCGCCTGCTGTGCCTTTGCAGGAACAAAATTCCCTTTCTGTCTTTGTGTCCAAAGTAGTTCAACTGAATTGAAAGCTAAAGTAATATCTCGTTCCCATCATGCCTAAAGGCTTCCTTCAGAAACGACAAAGTTTTGAAGATTTTTCCCCCTCTTTCTTATGTATAGCACTTCCCAAAAGGTTCTGAAGATGTTTATACACATTAAATGCAGGCAGATCTAAGGCATTAAGCACAAGAATGAATTAAAACAATCTTAACATGTAAATAGAGATAACTGTACCAGAAAACACAGGATAGGCAAATCACTGTGATGCAACCCTCTCTGAAGCCCCAAGTTGCCCGCAGGTAAAGGAAGGAGGGAAAACGTGGGCCCCGAAACCTTTCTGGTTATTTATTTTCCTACAGAGCCACCATCATAATTTCAGTTGGAGAATTAATATGTCAGACAAATAAAAATCTAGGGGAATGCTTCTCTAGATTCAACAAGAAACAAATCAACTGAAGGGATTCTTAAAATGCAGACTCTGATTCCACAGGTCTGAGACTTGAGTGCTTTCCAACAAGTTCCAGGATGAACAGGAGATATTGCTCTATGAACCCCCAATGAGATCCTATCGGAAAAGTTAGTGCTGAAACAATGACCTTACGACCATGTAGCAAAACATCATAAGGCAAACTCTGCTTTTCTTTTTGAAGAGCCAAGGAAGTCAGCACCCTAAAGACAAAGGGGCGAAAGAAAGGAACTAGCAAGTACTTTATTAGCATGTCAACGAATAACTGATAATGCCCCATCGACTTTAAAAGTGCATTTCAGCATCTTAATAGACAGTCCATAGAAGACTTTCAGGTATGGCTAACACACACAGAAAAAGAATAACCAGTGGGTGCCCCGTAAATACATACATAGGTAGATAGGTAGGTAGGTAGGTAGGTAGGTAGGTAGGTAGATAGATAGATAGATAGATAGACAGATAGAACACACACACAACTTGCAGACAGGGCAATAGAGAAAGAGACAAGATACAGCAACTTGTGTATCTAAGTCAGGAAGGGGTGCGGGCGGGGAGGCGATGCTGGAAGGATCCAAATCACTGCCGACAGGTCAATCCTGACTCACAGTGATCCTGTAAGTCAGGGTAGAAGTGTCCCTGAGAGTTTCCAAGACTGTTAATCTCTACGGTAGTAGAAAGCCTTGTCTTTCTCCCTAGAAGTGGCAGGTGGTTTCCTCCTGCTGATCTTGGGGTTCAGAGGCCAATATCTAACCACTACCCCACCAAGGGCTCCTCCTTCAGAGGGGATGAGAGCAAGTGGCTCTGCTGGATTTGGAGGGTAAGCCAGAAATTATTGAGACACAAACAATATGTTTAATGTAACCAAGAGAAATTACTGAAACCCAAATGAAGGCTGATCATGATAGTGGGACAAGTGGAAAGTAAAAGGAAATAGAGGAAAGAACTAGGTGACCAAGGTTATTTATAGAGATCTAAATACAGGCATGTACATTATATTTATATAGGATGGTGAGGAAATAGATCTATGTGCATATATTTATAGGTTTAGTATTAAGGCAACAGATAGACTTTGGACCTCCACTCAAGTACTTACTCAATGTAAGAACACGTTGTTCTATTAAATTGGCATCCCATGATGCACACCTTCCCGACACGATCGCTGAAGACAAATGTGTGTATAAGCAAAGATGAAGAATGCTGATGGTGCCCGGCTATCAAAAGATAGAGTATCTGGGGTCTTAAAGGCTTGAAAATAAACCAAAAGAAAGTGGCCATCTAACTCAGAAGCAACAAAGCCCACATAGAAGAAGCACACCAGCCTGCGTGACCATGAAGTGTCGAAGGGATCAAGTATCAAGCATCAAAGAACAAAAAATCATATCATTATAAATGAGGGTAAGTGCAGAGTGGAGACTCAAAGCCCATTGGTCGGCAACTGGACACCCCCTTACTGAAGGGTTGTGAGGAGGAGATGAGCCAGTCAGAGTGCAGGGTAGCAAAGATGAAACATAACTTTCCTCT